ATTCTCTCAACTGTGATTATGGTGCCTGAAGTGGTCTTCACCGACAAATGTCAAGTATAAGCAGGCAATTAGCGGCTGTCGTTTGAATCTTTTTTTGCCAATTTTTCATGTTCATAATACCTCGAGGGCCACATACCACCACAGTTGAGAGAATACATATTCTCTCAACTGTGCTCGTAGTTATTCAATATGAAAAAGGAAGAAATATCATGTGTAGTGAACATTTTTGCGATCACGGCGAAAGCCGACTGGCGATCCTGGGTGTTGTCACCGAACATAAACTTCAAATAATATGCGTTCCGCACCTGCACTCAGTTCAAACGGAACTTCAAACCCGCCGACGCCGCGCGGTGCGGTGTATTCTGCAATTGATTTTGGAAATATTTTTAGTAGTGTCCAAGATTACTGCATGATTAGGAGATAGTTCACTTATATACTGGGATCCGTTTGTCGGTACGCTCGAACATTACGTTTTTTGCTTTTCCCGGAAATCTTCGGGAAAACAAACGGTAGCGGCATGAAGCGGTCGACGAAGACGCGCTTGACGGTTATACGGGGGCGATTGCATTTCTAGCGCTCTTACACGGGACGTTTGGTAACGTTCACTGTTCACTCAAAAATCGAAAATTAGAATGGAAGTGGTTTTTGATATTTAAGAATAACTCAATTTGTATCAATCGAATAATAGTTGCTAATGATTCACTCTCAAATGATACACATTCGTTCTGAAAAACCTAATTTATTTATTTAATTTAATTTGAACATGTGATTTGAGTTTTGGTTCTGCTAGGTTAAGATCTAGATAGTCAAATCGTCGTTTTTTCCCTTGAAATGATGAGTGAAATACTCATGATTATAGTTATAAGTTAGTAATAAAATAGTAATAAATTATGGAATATTTGGAGTTTTCAAAATAATAATTGTTTAGCTATGGCTCTGCTAGGTTGACAGCAAGCTAGCAGAGCCGTTGGTTTACCCTGTTGAATGAAGTGTTAGAAATCTGCGAATGTGGCAATAAACTAGTAATAAATTAGTAACTTATCGATGATACAACAGAATTTCAAAAAGCATGTGATTTGAGTTTTTTTCCTTGAAATGATGAGTAAACAATTCCTGATTATAGTTATAAGTTAGTAATAAAATAGTAACAAATTATGGTATATTTGAAGTTTTGAAAATAATAATTGTTTAGCTATGGCTCTGCTAGGTTGACAGCAAGCTAGCAGAGCCGTTGGTTTACCCTGTTGAATGAAGTGTTAGAAATCTGCGAATGTGGTAATAAACTAGTAATAAATTAGTAACTTATCGATGATACAACAGAATTTCAAAAAGCATTTGATTTGAGTTTTGGTTTTGCTAGGTTGAGTTCGAGATAGACAAATCGTCGTTTTTTTCCTTGAAATGATGAGTAAATAATTCGTGATTATAGTTTTATGTTAGAAATAAAATAGTAATAAAATATGGTATATTCGAAGTTTTCCAAATGATAATTGTTTAGCTACTTATGGCTCTGCTAGGTTGACAGCAAGCTAGCAGAGCCGTTGGTTTTTCCTGTTGAATGAAGTGTTAGAAATCTGCGAATATGGTAATGAATTAGTAATAAATTAGTAACTTATCGATGATACAACAGAATTTCAAAAAGCATGTGATTTGAGTTTTGGTGTTGCTACGTTGAGTTCGAGATAGACAAATCGTCGTTTTTTTCCTTGAAATGATGAGTAAACAATTCGTGATCATAGTTATAAGTTAGTAATAAAATAGTAATAAATTATGGTTTATTTGAGGTTTTCAAAATAATAATTGTTTAACTATGGCTCTGCTAGGTTGACAGCAAGCTAGCAGAGCCGTTGGTTTTCCCTGTTGAATGAAGTGTTAGAAATCTGCGAATGTGGTGATAAATTAGTAATAAATTAGTAACTTATCGATGATACAACAGAATTTCAAGAAGCATGTGATTTGAGTTTTGCTTTTGCTAGGTTGAGTTCGAGATAGACAAATTGTCGTTTTTTCCTTGAAATGATGAGTAAACAATTCTTGACTATTGTTATAAGTTAGTAATAAAATAGTAATAAATTATGGTATATTTGAAGTTTTCAAAATAATAATTGTCTAGTTATGGCCTCGGTTATGGCTCTGCTAGATTGACAGCAAGCTAGCAGAGCCGTTGGTTTTCCCTGTTGAATGAAGTGTTAGAAATCTGCGAATGTGGTAATAAATTAGTAATAAATTAGTAACTCATCGATGTTACAACAGAATTCCAAAAAACATGTGATTTGAGTTTTGATTCTGCTAGGTTGAGATCGAGATAGACAAATCGTCGTTTTTTTCATCGAAATGATGGGTAAAAAATTCGTGATTATAGTTATATGTCAGTAATAAAATAGTTATAAATTCTGGTATATTTAAAATTTTCAAAATATCAAATTTTCAGCTATGGTTCCGCTAGGTTGACATAAAGCTAGCAGAGCCGTTGGTTTTCCCTATTGAATGAAGTGTTAGAAATTTGCGAATGTGGTAATAAATTAGTAATAAATTAGTAACTTATCGATGATACAACAGAATTTCAAAAAGCATGTGATTTGAGTTTTGGTTTTGTTAGGTTGAGTTCGAGATAGACAAATCGTCGTTTTTCTCCTTTAAATGATGAGTAAACAATTCGTGATTATAGTTATAAGTTAGTAATAAAATAGTAATAAATTATGGTATATCTGAAGTTTTCAAATTAATAATTGTTTAGCTATGGCTCTGCTAGGTTGACAGCAAGCTAACAGAGCCGTTGGTTTCTCCTGTTGAATGAAGTGTTAGAAATCTGCGAATGTGGTAATAAACTAGTAATAAATTAGTAACTCATCGATGATAAAACAGAATTTCAAAAATTATTTGATTTGAGTTCTGGTTTTGCTAGGTTGAGTTCGAGATAGACAAATCGTCGTTTTTTTCCTTGAAATGATGAGTAAATAATTCGTGATTATAGTTTTAAGTTAGTAATAAAATAGTAATAAATTATGGTATATTTGAAGTTTTCCAAATAATAATTGTTTAGCTATGGCTCTGCTAGGTTGACAGCAAGCTAGCAGAGCCGTTGGTTTTCCCTGTTGAATGAAGTGTTAGAAATCTGCGAATGTGGTAATGAATTAGTAATAAATTAGTAACTTATCGATGATACAACAGAATTTCAAAAAGCATCTGATTTGAGTTTTGGTTTTGCTAGGTTGAGTTCGAGATAGACAAATCGTCGTTTTTCTCCTTGAAATGATGAGTAAACAATTCGTGATTATAGTTATAAGTTAGTAATAAAATAGTAATAAATTATGGTATATTTGAAGTTTTCAAAATAATAATTGTTTAGCTATGGCTCTGCTAGGTTGACAGCAAGCTAGCAGAGCCGTTGGTTTCTCCTGTTGAATGAAGTGTTAGAAATCTGCGAATGTGGTAATAAATTAGTAATAAATTAGTAACTTATCGATGATACAACAGAATTTCAAAAAGCATCTGATTTGAGTTTTGGTTTTGCTAGGTTGAGTTCGAGATAGACAAATCGTCGTTTTTCTCCTTGAAATGATGAGTAAACAATTCGTGATTATAGTTATAAGTTAGTAATAAAATAGTAATAAATTATGGTATATTTGAAGTTTTCAAAATAATAATTGTTTAGCTATGGCTCTGCTAGGTTGACAGCAAGCTAGCAGAGCCGTTGGTTTCTCCTGTTGAATGAAGTGTTAGAAATTTGCGAATGTGGTAATAAATTAGTAATAAATTAGTAACTTATCGATGATACAACAGAATTTCAAAAAGCATCTGATTTGAGTTTTGGTTTTGCTAGGTTGAGTTCGAGATAGACAAATCGTCGTTTTTCTCCTTGAAATGATGAGTAAACAATTCGTGATTATAGTTATGAGTTAGTAATAAAATAGTAATAAATTATGTTATATTTGAAGTTTTCAAAATAATAATTGTTTAGCTATGGCTCTGCTAGGTTGACAGCAAGCTAGCAGAGCCGTTGGTTTCTCCTGTTGAATGAAGTGTTAGAAATCTGCGAATGTGGTAATAAATTAGTAATAAATTAGTAACTTATCGATGATACAACAGAATTTCAAAAAACATGTGATTTGAGTTTTGGTTCTGCTAGGTTGAGATCGAGATAGACAAATCGTCGATTTTTTCCTTGAAGTGATGGGTAAAGAATTCGTGATTATAGTTATAAGTTAGTAATGAAATAGTTATAAATTATGATATATTTAAAATTTTCAAAATATCAAAATTTCAGCTATGGTTCTGCTAGGTTGACATAAAGCTAGCAGAGCCGTTGGTTTTTTCTGTTTAATGAAGGGTAATAAATTTGCGAATATGGTAATAAATTAGTAATAAATTAGTAACAAATTATAGTACTATTGCAAATCCGAAATATTGAAGTGGTTCTGCTAAGTTTATTGGGGTCAATTATCGAAGTATCCTAATTTTCAGAATGTTCTGTTCTTTCGTTCTCCAGATACTTCTAATAGGCCATCCACCGTGACCCACCCTGTATAAGAGGGTAGAAGAGAGGTGAATTGAATGCTACAAAATTAGACAACTATCTGATCATGTTCAGTGAATAGTTTTCCATTCATTACCATAGAATAATCATTGAATTTGCAGAATTTCCGCTTGGATTTCCACTTATAATTATAAATGATAATAATAAGATTGGCTTGCACTCAGAAGTAGCAGTTTCGGATAATATTTGGGATCGTAGATCTCTGTAGACCCATCCAGAATTTCAAGAAATATCTTTTGAAATCAACAACAATGCGCATGGCGGAACAGTAAACACGCTTTCGTTCCTGCTGTTGAATAATTCAATTTATTTCTATAAAAGTGATGAAATCATCATTAGCAGTCCTGTAATCTGTGAATCTGGTGTTCGTTGTCATCTAATAGCTTAAAAAAGTTTGTGGCAGAACAAATAACATCCATTGAATAACATACGAAGTGCATGTATCAGCTCCTAACCTATAAATATGGGCCTTACAAGAAGAGATCTTGATGAGATCGCTGGCATTGTGGAATCAAAAATTAAAAATATCATGAACGATGATAATTTGCAGAAGTTCGCTGATAAAATTATAAGTAATATCTCGAGAAAGTATGATGAAATCATTTCAGACCTGAAGTTGGAGATGGAAGAACTCAAAAACAACAATAAAAAACTTGCACTAGGCAATGATAATCTAGAACAACAAGCAAGACTGAAAAACATTCGAATATTTGGTATTCAGGTTAATGAATCTGAAAATCTGAGAAGTGTAACTCTCAAAATCATTCAGGAGAAGCTGAAAATAAAATCAGTAAATGATTCAGATATTACAAAATATCACAGAATTCCCAGCAGAAATATAAACAATGATGGCTCAAAACCTCCTAGTCCACCTGCTGTTTTGATGAGGTTAAGTGACATATCAGTCCGTGAATCTATTCTCAAAAATCGAAAATTACTGAAATCCACTGGTATTTCTATCCAGGAAGACCTTACAAGATATAGACTCACTCTAATGCAGAATGCAGTTCGTAAATTTGAAAGAAAAAATGTGTGAAGCCGAAATGGTAACTTGTACTACAAGCACAATGATGAAGTTCGAAGAATTTTTGATGAAGATGATATAGCAGTCACCACTTCATAATAAATTGTACAATCCTCTGGAAATTTGATTGCATTAGTATTTTATGATTACTAATTTTTGTTTTCTGTGGCCACATATATGATTTGGTGCCTAATTGAACATTCATTCATATGTTGATAAAAATCATTTTATGTTTAGAATTTATTACTATGTAGATGTCACAAATATGTTGATTGTACCTTAACTTATTCGGAATATTAATTTTTATGTTTATATATCAAGTGTTTATTCCAAGGTGAATTCCAAATATATGTTTAAGAAAAACAAAATTCTACCTGGAATAGAAGTTATTTATCTATCCTACAGAATGATTATGATAAGAACATTTTTATTTCGTTTACGTAGCTGTCACAATGCACAAGAATTGTTTAATTCAATTAAGTTTAAACTGCTTAATTATTGGGTTTTTTTTTTGGTTGCTGGTGTAGTCATAGGCATAAAAAAAGTCTTCATGAATAAGCATACTTATGCATCTTTTTTTTTTAGCCAACCACATTTGTTTCACTTTTTTATAACTAAAATGTTTCATTGGAAATTATTGTACCTTCACAGGGTCATTCAAACATTGTATACATTTACATTTATTCTTTTTTTTTTTTTCTCTCTCTTTTTCAACTTATACATTTTTTTCATTTTCTTCTCTCCTTTTCTAGATGTCTCTGAACGTCTCACATGTGAATGTGAGATCTCTTATTCCACATTTTAATGATTTTCAGAGTCGTATCATTGATGCAGACTATGATGTAGTGGGAGTCACGGAAACTTGGTTGCATGCAGAAATTAGTAGTGAAACTGTACATCTCAATCAGTATACTTTTATTCGTAATGATAGACCAACTCATGGCGGTGGTGTTGGTATGTATGTTAAAAACAAATATAAATTTGAGATAATTCTTTATGAACAAAAAGATAACATTGAGCACATATGGTTAAAATTAATAATTTTAAAAGACATTACAATAATTATCGGTACTGTATATAGGCCTCCTAAATCTAAATTGAGTAATTTTTTCAATGAGATAGAAGATACATTCTCTAATATTTTCTCATCTTTTAATAACATAATATGTGTTGGAGATTTTAATATCAATATGTTTGATGTTGACTGCAAGAATACTCAGCAATTCAACTCTATTCTGGAATCGTTCAATTTTATCCAGTTGATAAATGAGCCTACAAGATATACCACTATTTTAGACCTTATCATCACTAACTTTGATATTTCTGACTGTATTCCAAGAGTTGATGATAACTTGATAGCTGATCATTGCCTTATTGCATGTCAAGTTAAACTGAACATTGCCAGCTTCTATCGATAAGATTGACATTGATAAATTCCAACTTGATCTTATTTCAATGCCTTGGCATGTCATATTAACAGCAACTGACATTGAATCAAAAATTAAACTTCTTACAGACAATATTATTAATTTATTGAATATTCATGCACCCAAAAAATCTTGTTTTGTAAATAGGAAAAAGTATTCACCATGGATTACAGAGAATATAAGACTCATGCAGAAATTGAGAGATAAGGCACTGAAAAGATTTAAGAACACTCATGTTCCAGAACATTGGTCTTATTATAAACAACTTAGAAATTTCACTACCAATGCCATAAACGCAGGAAAAAAAGCTTTTTTGAATTTTAAATTTCGTAATTCTGAATATAAAGAACAGTGGAAAGAACTGAAAAAACTCAATGTATCAAAGACTAAAAATAACGAGATACCGGAATCTTTACTAAATGCTGAAGACATCAATGCATTCTTTATCTCATCATCAAAAAGTATTAGACCTATTGATGAACAACTAATCAACTATTATAGTAATAACTTGAAGCAAGGTATTAATTCAACATTTAGCTTCCAGCCTGTTTCTGAGGAAACTATTTATAAGGTTATTAAAAACATTAAATCTAAGGCCGTTGGTGTTGATGATTTAATATTACAATTTTTGATTTATGCTGCCCTTTTATAATTCCTTTCATCACACACATAATTAACCAATGCCTTGAAAATAATTACTTTTTCATCACATGGAAGATTGCTAAAGTAATACCTCTACCTAAAATTCAACTACCAACATGTTTCAATGACTTGCGTTCTATAAGTGTTTTACCCACTTTCTCTAAAATAATTGAAAGGATAATGGAATCTCAAATGAAGGAATACATCGAAACCCAAAACATTCTTCCCTTGAAACAATCTGGGTTCAGAAGAGGTTATAGCTGCAATAGTGCTCTTGCTGACGTAACTGACGAAATCATCCATTCACTGGATAAAAACAAAATATTCATATTGATTTTACTGGATTATTCCAAAGCCTTTGATCTAATAAATCACAATATACTCATTTCAATGCTAAATTATTTCGGTTTCAGTGTATCAGCTTGCTCTTTATTAGGCTCATATCTCAAAGATAGGGTACAGTTTGTACAAATTGGTGATGAAAAATCCTCAACTCTGGAGGTACTGTCTGGAGTTCCTCAAGGAAGTATTTTAGGTCCATTATTATTTACATTATATACCTCTAACTTTATCAACTGTTTACATAACTGCAATTATCATTTTTATGCGGATGATACGCAATTGTATTATTATTTCGACATCTCAGAAATAAAAGATGCTGAAACTTCTATTAATAATGATCTATCTGCACTTCATACGTTATCACTTGACCATGCTCTCGTACTTAATCCAAATAAATGTTCTGCACTGATTTTTTGTAAAGAAACTCGAAAGCAGCATTGTAATGAAAATATTTCACTCAAAATCGGCGACACACTAATACCTTTCAAAACTCAGTGTAAAAATCTTGGATCAACTTTAGATACTAGACTAAGTTTCACTTCACATATCAATAATAAACTTAAAGCTGCGTATGCCTCCCTAAAACTAATATATCCACAACGTCAATTTTTAACTACTGATGTTAAAAAAATGCTTTGTGATAGTCTAGTTCTTTCCCATTTTAATCATTGTGATGCAGTTTATGGTCCCTGTCTAGGTAGTATTGAGTCTCGTCGCATTCAAAAAGTGCAGAATTCATGTATTCGCCTTATTTATGTAATTAGAAAAGGTCAACACACTTCACATAAATTGACTGAACTAAAGTGGTTGAACATGTATAACCGAAGACAGCTGCACTTGGCCTGTCTATGCTTCAATTTACTGAAAACAAAAACTCCTCCTTACCTTCATGAGAAACTTTCATTCAGAACAGATGTACATAACTTGAATATTCGACGACAAACTCTTATAAGTATACCCAAACATTCAAAGGCACTGTTCAAATGCAGCTTTACATATGCTTCAGCGGTCTGTATCAATGATATCTTCAAATTCTTCAAAATGAATAACTCGTTTCTAGAAATTACATGTGGAAAATTCAAAATTATGTTTGAGAAACACTTACTGAGCGTTCAGTGACCCCCTCTCTCTTTCTCTCTCTCTCTCTTTCTCACTTTCTCTTTTTCTCTCTCTATCTGTCTCTCTCTCTCTCTCTGTGTCTCTTGTTTTGTAAATTGCATATATATGTATATATTATTTATATAATTCTTGCCATCAAAAAGGTAATTTGAATTATTGAATAAAGGTGTCGGTGGAAGAACAGATTTGGCTGTTGCTGAAAGCTGAACCGAAAACCTATTACCTTCATAATTATTGTATTTGTATGTATTGCCATGTAACATATTTTGATGGGGTAATAAAAGTATTATTATTATTATTATTATTATTAACTTTTAGTTATTATAATAATAATAATGATAATAATAATAATAATTTCCAGGCAAATGACCTAGAAGTCGAAGCCTGAAACAAATACAGGGTGGTGCAGAATTCAGAATCTTGATCACCCGGTATATGTCCCAATTAAATATCAGTAGATTGTTAATAAAAAGTTGGGATAGGGACATGTGAGCCGTTTTGACCAATTATGAGTAGTTTCGACACAAAAAATTCTTGAACTTAAAAAATCTCGATTTTTCACACCCTATATTTCAGTAATTATAACTGCTAGACCCCAAGTATGATGGGTCGTTGAAATCAGCTCATCAGGGAGAATCTCGAAATGGAATAATATATGGGGTGTTCCATAAAAAAAGTTTAACTTCAGTGTTTTATGGTTTTTGGGGACACCCTGTATGTTTCGAAATAATTTCAAATGGTAGCCTATGTTTACATGCAACTTCCTAGAGAGGAAGAATTCCAAGAAGATAAGTGGTTAGCCTTCTAGAGACCGAGGCGTTACTGGTGGCCCACCCTGTATATAGGAATAGTCAAAGTCAAAAGACTCATGAGGAGAAAAATTCTCCTACACTATAAAAGCATTTTTCAAGTAAGGAACATCTTAGTTTTCGTTTGAACAAGGAAATGGATACAATATTTTTTAAAACATCAGGTAGATGGTTAAACATTTTTGGTCCTATATGGTTTGGAGCAACAGAAGTTATTTTATATTTGGCATATGGTATATATGAAATAAGTTTTTACATCTAGTATTGATATTATTTCAGTATCATGAGAAATATCAAGAATACCATGTTTTCCTTGGTAGAATTCGATAATGGAGATAATGTTTGTATACCCTTCATATAAAGTCCAAACTATTGAAGGTTCAGTAGTGACAGTGAGCCATTAGGGCAGAGGTAAATACAGAGCTAGACTCCTTTGTGAAAATAGTGATGAAAAATTTTCAAATAATCTCAAGGATGACATCGAGAACAAACGATTGTACATTTCAATAACAGCTGGAGAATATCATAGCTTGGATCGTTCATTTGTGAGAAAATGCTTATTCGAGCAAAATATTCCACAGGCTATTCCAAATGATTCATTCGAACAATTTAACCAAGAGTCAGAAAATAATCAGGAAAGTTCTTTAAGCAGATATTATGAGATAATTGAGAAGATTTATGATAAGAATGATCAAGATATTGATTCATATGATCATGATGACAGTGGATCAGAATGGCTACCAGATGAAGAACAGGAACAAGAACAATGGGATGTCCTATTTGGAGATCCAAAAATTTCATCCATATCATCAGAGCATGCATCGACATATAAAACAGGTGAGTTATTTGATTTTTCTGAACTTTTCATACTGCCAAAATGACTTATCAAACAGTTAGATGCGGAAATGGGCAAGACTGCACATTCCTGATTTCAAAATCGTCTGATTTGATAATACTTATCAATATTCAATGTAGGTTATAAGAAATTGGATGAATGTCTCTGGAATCATAGTTTTGTTTTGCTCCTCGTTTCCATGAATGAAAATATAAGTATTATTCCAAAATGTCACTGTGCCCGAAATTTCACCATTAAGAACCTGAAAGAGAAATTCAATCGGTAGTCAGTGACACCCGAGGTAACATCTTTTACGAAAAATATTTGAAGCAAAGAAATATAGATACCTATATTGAAAAAATATAAAATATTAACTTCTCTTCAGACGTTTTGGAAACGACTCTGATTCCATTTTCAACATGAAAATAGAAATTCTTCTCTACACAATATTTTCGTATTCATAGAAATTGACATTTTTCAGTGAAAACTAGTTATAATTTTCGAAAATGAGGGTTACCAGGTGTTTTCATTAATTGATCTCGAATTTACCATTTCCATACTCAGTCTTCAGAAGTGAATACCATAATCTATCTATATCAACTGAACAGGAAACATGTAATTAATATTGTTGATCCTTTGATTTTTCGTTTGTGATTATTATCTTATTTTCCTATAATTCTGATATTTTCCAATCTGCCACATGTTGCCCATTTCCAGTAGGTAAATCTTAGCCGAGAAATCAGAATTACCTGAACATATCCTTACTGCAGTTATATTGAAATAATACTAAAATATTTTCATTTATGAAAACGAGAGAAAAATCTAGAAAATCTAGAGAAATGAACATTCCTCAATCAAACCATAGACAGTATCAGGAGAGATTTTCATCTGAAATCAGTACAGAGGTTAAATTAGGAAATATAATTTCAGTAATAATGGTATAGAGGCTAAAACGAATTCCCTACTCATAATCTGGATCTCATATATGGAGAGAGAAATCAAGTAAGTTGAATAAAGCTGAAATTTAGGATTTAGGAGCCCTTCAATATGCCATTGAGAAAGATGCGAAATTTCGAAATGAAGAATTTCGAGAAAATTGAAAGTTAAAAATCTCTCATTCATCCTTCCCTAGCCTTATTTGAGATGATTTTTTTAATATCACATAAAAATGAATAACACATTACCATAGTAGTGTACCTACCTTCGCCTCAGCTCAAGATGGCCGCCGCCGGAAGTGACGTCACAACCGTTCCTGTGGTAGAAGGTGTTGGCTGCACGGAAGTGACGTCACAAGATGGCCGCCACCGGAAGTGACAGATGACAGATGACAAGTGACAGATGACAAGTGACAGATGACAAGTGACAGATGACAAGTGACAGATGACAAGCGACAGATGACAAGTGACAGATGACAAGCGGCAGATGACAAGTTACAGGTGACAAGCGACAGATGACAAGTGACAGATGACAAGTGACAGATGACATGGAACACAAGGAGTGACAGATGGCATGAAACACAAAGAGTGACAGGTGACCGACAAGTGACAGATGACAAGTGACAGATGACATGGAACACAAGGAATGACACGTGCAAGTACTCTGAACTTAGCCTTCTAGACTCTGGACTCCGGACTCTAGACACTAATGCTTATGAGCGTGTCCTCTTCTTCTTATTTTTGAAAGGTGGTGGATGACGTCACAATCTAGTGACTTCGCCCACCAGATTTAGGTTGGTATTACTACAATTGGTAGCACTTTGTTTCAAGGTCACCCGATATGCATGTTGCAGGTGGCCGATGAGTCATCCTTATCTCGACTTCGTAGAACAATGCCTCCTTTGTTTGCCATATGTTATCTAGCCTTCCTCTAGAACAATGCCGCCTTTGTTCTCTCTATGCCACTGTCAGCGTTTCTTGGAATTCCGGCTATTGGGAAATTGCGACGCAATATTATACGAGAACAATGCCGCCTTTGTTTGCAGGTGTCCGATTACGTAACAACCTCATCCGATTGCATCATCCTTATCTGTGAGAGAACAATGGGTATATTGTCCTGACGCAGGTGGCCGATGAGTCATCCAATAATGCTAGCTGGGAGACATCCTGAAAGAGTACCTCTATCTACTTCCTGTCACCACTGACTGTCAGCGTTTCTTGGAATTTCGTCGAGTCAGCTATTGGGAAATTTGCCTCAAGAACAATACCTCCGTTGTTTGCAGGTGGTTGATGACGTCACAACCTCAAGCCCTATATAAGGCGGTCAGAACGTTCGTAGGCGTCATTCCATTCTGAACTTTGACACTGGTCGGTCGATCTGTTCCTTTCTGTTCGGTTGCTCCTGTCCGTTCGGTTGCTCCTGTCTGCTTTATTATATCCTGTGTGGGTTGTGCCAGCTGATCATAAAAGGTGAGTTCTTTATTTATTACGTTTCAAGGCCATGTGGTCGACCCTATTTGTGAGTAGTGATCATTCCACCCAATACTAGCAGTGTTAGAATATTTTAATTCTCATCAGATGGATGTTTCAGCTATTAACGCTCAAGCTGCTGCCTTCAAACCAACTATAGCACTAAGTAGCTTGCCCATCAACCAGCCCCACCCCATTGAAAATATCAGGGTGGTCCAGACACGGTTTGGGGAGGCTATTGTGGTGGAACTCGAGGCATCTAGCGTTTTTCTGCCAAGGAGGGTAGTTGGCATCTTCAAGCCCCAGCCTCCGGCTTTCACCCCAGGCAAATACAGCCTGATTCACAAGAGGAGTGACACCGGACCTGCAGTCCTCTTTGAGATTACTTTAAATTAGTGGTGAGTAAAATATTATTTTCTGTTTGATATTTCTCGCAACATGAATGTCAATAGTATTGCTTCTACTAGTGATGCCGTTGTTGAGGAATGTAGAAGAAAAGTGGAAATTTTGAGAAAGAAGACGAACATATCTGCAGAAGAGAGACTGTTATGGAATAGGCAAATAGGGACGCATATAAGAGAATTGAATAGGGCAATCAGGGGGACCAATTCGACAGCAGGGGTTTTGAGAAAATTAGAAACAAATGTGGGGCATTTGAAACGTTTTCAAAGTTTGATTAGGAAGAAGAATCATATTGGGGCGGGACTTGGCAATCGTAAAAATAGAGTTAGATGGAGACTTGTTTAATCTGTTTTTGAGAGTAGAGTAAGGACGGCTGTTATAATCAATTTGAGTCATAAGGAGTTGATGCAATTCTTGCAGGACGCATCGCATATTTTCAAAATTCAAATTAAAAAAATATTGAGGGAATTAACCATGCTCAAAGTCAACACCACCTTCTGTGGTGAGTTTATCAATACAAAGAATGCTACAATGGATGAGGGAACGGATTTAGATTGTTGGTTCACGGAAAATGTGATTGATGCCATAGTGAATAAACTTTCGGAATTCCAGGAGAAGGGTAGTGGCTGGGCCTTGAGAGAAATTGTTTCTTTAGAGGTTAATGTTAACAAATTAGAAATTGGCAATGGTTCATCATTCATTGCACTACCTGACCAAATCTCCAAAAAGCGTGCTTGTATCAATGTGAAGAACACTGATGAGGCATGCTTCTTCTGGAGTATCGTGAGCGCTTTACATCCTGCCAACCGTAATGTAGACAGGCCCAGCTCGTATCCTCATTACAGCCAAGTTTTAAATACCGCAGGCTTGGATGTACCCATCACTCTCAACAATATCCCTAAATTTGAAAAACTCAATGATGTTTCGGTGAACGTTTACGCCTTGGAACTGATTCATGTTAGAAAGACAGAGCATTTCGAAGTAGTACCCGTAAAACTCACAAAACATAAGCAGCCCAGACATGTCAATCTACTTCTCATTCAAAGTGAATATTTCCCCAAGCCCAACGATCATGATGTCTTGCCTGAAGATGATTACGACGAAGACCTCAGGTATCATTATTGTTGGATTAAAGACATGTCCAGGCTGCTATCTTCACAACTCAGTAAAGACCATGGAAAAAAACATTTCTGTGATAGATGTTTAAATTATTTTTCGAGCGAATCCAAATTGGCAGATCACAGTGGTGTATGCGAAAATGTCAACGAATGCAAAATTTCATTCCCCAAATACGATTCAGTTGTTTTCAAAAATCACATTTATAAGCAAAAGGCCGAATTCATCATCTACGGTGATTTTGAATCGGTTTTGGAGCACTGTGATGACAAAATTTCTCAAAAAATGGCAAAATATCAAAAACACACAGCCTTCAGCGCAGGGTACTATTTCAAATGCTCATATGATGATAGCTTGTCCTATTACAAGAGTCATCGAGGTCCTGACTGCATGGATTGGTTTGCCACAGAAATGGCAGATATCGCGAAATTTGTACAGTCTAAAATCAAAGACATTATTCCTCTGACTCATTTCCCAGATAAGGTTGGTGTAACACACTGCCATATCTGTGAAAAGGCGTTTGCGGGCACTGATATCATTGTTAAAGACCACCATCATTTCACTGGTGCCTTCAGGGGGTGGGCACATCAATCTTGTAATTTGGGGTACCGCAAGTCCTTCGTAGTGCCCATAGTATTCCACGATTTTTCTGGATACGATTCTCATTTCCTTCTGAGAGAGATTTCCAAACGTGGACAGGTGAGCGTACTTCCGATAAATATGGGGAAATACATTTCTTTCACCCAACACAACTCTGAAACCGGTATCAAATTTAGATTCATCGACTCTTTGAGATTTCTGGGTGCTAGTTTGGATGAATTAGCCTCCAATTTAACGAAGGATAGCTTTCAAAATTTAAGAAAAGAATTCAACCAATTGGACGCATTTAAATTCGATCTACTCACAAAGAAAGGTGTTTTCCCATATGACCACATCAATAGTCCGAGCAAATTAGACGAAACTGAACTTCCACCCATTGAGAACTTTTATAATAAATTGAACGATGAACATATCGATGATGTGAAGTACGCTCATGCTCAAAACGTATGGCAACAATTTGAATGTCAAAATTTAGGTGA